ATTTATAGTTATATAGATTTCAGTAACCCAAAAGGGCTAGACTATAGAGGACACTGCTGTTTTTACCACTGAGCAACCTTTTGTCCTTTTTCTGGTAGCTACATCCTAATTTACCCATGGGGAATCACTCCCTCTCCTACTCTGGAAAATTGCATTGCATTTGGTGGTTTCACACAGTGATGAGTCCTGCAGCCTTGGCTTAAACTAATCGGTATGTCCCATTTCCCTGGCCCCAATCATTGGTTTGAAGATTTAATTCTAGTCAATTTTAGTCAGTTGAATTACTCAGAAGTCCTGATTGGCCTTGAATTTGAGAAGGTGGGAGAAGATGCTATAGTCACATTACAAACACTTGGAGAGACCCCCAAGATTAAAGCCGACATGAAGGGAAGCGGAGTAGAGAGAATCTTCTGCGAGCTGTAATTTGAGCTCTTGATTAAATTGCACGTGAAAATGCACCTGTTCTCATTGGTTTAGTCAGCACTCTCAGTTCTTGCATATTTCAGGTTGCTTTTTGCTTTCTGCCCCCCACCCCCCAGGATCATCTGGGCAGTGCTTCTATCAGAAGCTGCAATCCCAGGCCTGGGAATGAAGACTTCTTGGAGGGACTAGAATGAAGCAGCAGAGAGCGGACTTCTGAAGACTTGGGTTTGAACATCACTGTGCTCCTGGGCCAGTGGGCTCACTTCTCTGAGGCTCCATTTCCTTCTTAACATGGGATGTGAAAGTGCTTGGTCCGCTGTGAGGTTCCGGGTACATGCGTAGTGTCTATTTCCAGGATTATTCTTTGGAAAGGTCGACTCTTTAAGGTCAAATCTCAGCTAGAATCCCAGACTTGGGGCCTGCAAGGATCAGAATCTGTTCCAATGCTCTGACCTTAAAAATGGCCCAGAGAAATGACAAGTTCTACATCAAATCGGGCAGAGCTGGGATTCCAGCGCAGTAACCTGAGTCTGGTATCACCTCCATGTTGTCTCTCTAGCTGACCACAGGGCCTTGGAGGCCAGAAGTGATGCAGTTAGGTGTGAGTCCTCCACTATCTTTCAGGCACCCTGCTCTGTTTGGGTCACAGAGATTCCCTCACAGTAATGCTCTCATGTTGACCCCAGGCTTGGACACAGAACTCTCCAGTGGTAGTGATGAACAAGGCATTGTATACCATGTCCACCGCAGATCCTGCCACCTCCTGTCATGCTGCAAGGGGAGTTTCTCTGAGACTCATTTTCTCATTTGTAAAATGAGATGGCATTGGTATCTACCAAGTTTTGTGTGAGGATTAAGTGTTATAAAACATGCAAAGCACTTAACACTGTGACTGGCTCAGTAAGCGCTTTCCCAATAAATATTAATGATGGTGATTATAATTGTCCAAAGTAACACAGCTCTTAAATGGTGAAGGCAGGCCATATCGAACCCAGGCCTGACTGGTTTCAGAGTCTGTCCTGTTTGCAGAATCCAGGTAAAAGGAGGTGGATTCCAGTGATTTGGGGAAATATTTTCCCAGGCTACTTGTAGCTCTGTTCTAGAGTTTAATAAAAATAATTCAGTTTTTCTTTTCCTTGTTTTCTTTCATAGGTAGTTATCTTGGCAGGTTCTTACTGTCCAAGACTTATTTTTCCTTTTTTTTTACCAGATTGCTAAAGCTTTTCTTTTCTTTTCTCTTTTCTTTCTTTCTTTTCTTTTCGAGACAGGGTCTCACTCTGTTGCCTGGGCTAGAGTGCGGTGGTGTCATCAGAGCTCACAGCAACCTCAAATTCCTGGGCTCAAGCGATCCTCCTTCCTCGGCCTTCCAAGTAGCTGGGACTACAGGCATGTGCCACCACCCCTGGCTGATGAAGACCCCCAAAGCAATCACTGCAGCAACAAAAATAAATAAATGGGATCTGATCAAATTAAAAAGCTTCTGCACTGCCAAGGAAACTATCATTAGAGTGAATAGACAGCTCAAAGAATGGGAAAAAATATTTGCTCTCTACACATCTGATAAAGGGCTGATAACCAGAATCTATCTAGAACTCAAAAAAATCAACAAGAAAAAATCAAACAGCCCCATCAACAAATGGGCAAAGGAAATGAACAGAAACTTTTCAAAAGAAGACAGAATAATGGCCAGAAAACATATAAAAAATGCTCAACATCTCTAATCATTAGAGAAATGCAAATCAAAACCACAATGGGATATCACCTAATCCCAGTGAGATTGGCCTGTATCAAAAGATCCCAAGGCTGGGCTCGGTGGCTCACGCCTGTAATCCTAGCACTCTGGGAGGCCGAGGCGGGCGGATTGTTTGAGCTCAGGAGTTCGAGACCAGCCTGAGCAAGAGCGAGACCCCGTCTCTACTAAAAATAGAAAGAAATTAATCGGACAACTAAAAATATATAGAAAAAATTAGCCGGGCATGGTGGCGCATGCCTGTAGTCGCAGCTGCCTGGGAGGCTGAGGCAGGAGGATTGCTTGAGCCCAGGAGTTTGAGGTTGCTGTGAGCTACGCTAACGCCACGGCACTCGCTCTAGCCAGGGCAACAGAGTGAGACTCTGTCTCAAAAAAAAAAAAAAAAAAAAAGATCCCAAAACATCAAATGCTGGCGAGGATGTGGAGAGACAGGAACACTCTTACACTGCTGGTGGGACTGCAAATTAGTGCAATCTCTGTGGCAAAGAATTTGGAGACACCTCAGAGAGCTAAAAATAGAAATACCATTCAATCCAGCAATAGCACTATTAGGCATCTACCCAAAAGAACACAAAACATTCTACGATAAAGACATCTGCACCCGAATGTTTATGGCAGCACAATTCACTATTGTAAGGATGTGGAAACAACTCAAGTGCCCGTCAATCCATGAGTGGATTATTAAAATTTGGTATATGTTTACAATGGAATATTACTCAATCACAAGAAACGACAGTGATCCAGAACCTCTTATACTTTCCTGGATTAAACTTAAGCCCATTATCCAAAATGAGGTGCCATAAGAGCGGAAAAATGGGCTCCACTTGTACTCGCCATCAAACTGGTACTAACTGATCAACATTAGGGTGATCACATGGCAGAAATACTCTCCAGGGATTAGGGGGATTGAGTGGGGGGTAAATCCACAACTAAAGGACACAGGGAGCACTGTAGGGGGGAAGGGGCATGCCTTTAACCCGCACTTGGGTGAGGCAAAGACATAAAGTGTAATCATAATGTTTGTACCTTCACAATACCCTGAAATAAAAAAAAGGAAAAAAAAGAATTTTTTTAAGAAGCAGGGTCTTGCTATGTTGCCCAGGCTGGTCTCAAACTCCTGGCCTCAAGTGATCCCCCTTAAAGTATTTCCTAACGACATACCACAGCCTCTGTTTCATTAACCTTAGGCTACATGGATGCCTTGCCCGAGGGAGACAGACACGCAGCCTTTGAAGGAATAAATTGCAGAACCCTGATCTGTACACTGACCATCTCTTTAGACGTGATTACATAGGCAGACACCTGAGACCCACCACTGCTGGTTATCTCCTCCTGCTGCTGCTTTGATGGGTGGATGGTTTTCACCCTTGCCCAGATTCTGCTTGACCACCCCTCACCCATGCACACGTGAGCCTAAAAGAACAGTTCACCTTTCTAGGTTTTATTAGGACTAGGACGAGTGGCTGGGGAGGAAATTCAAAGCTTGTAAAATTCTAACCTTCTTGGGTGGAGAAATACTGAGAAGGGGTGGTCAGGCCATCTGTTTGCCTCTAATGTGTGGGAGATGTGGCTGCCACTTCTGTCACCCATGGATCTCCAGAGGTGATGGGAACGACCCCACCCTTCCTGTTCTCATCTCTTTCTCAGTCCCAGCGCAGTGGTGTTCTTCCCCGTACTCGCACCACCACGCCGGGCTACTTCCCCAGGACTCCTGGCTTCTGTGTCCCCATTCCCCTTTGGTCATTATGGGATATTTTGTGTGTTTCATTCAAGGGCATATTTTAGGTTAAGTTATAAAGGCAAGTGCAAAGGTTGGAAAATTGGCCAAGGCTCCTGGGGTGAGTTTATGGCCTGGGAGGAAGGAAGGTGAAATTGTGTCTTAGAGCCACAGTTACCATCTTGGGACAGATGGAAGAACTGGGGCCCAGAGAAAGGCAGGGGCTGCCTCACTCATGCAGCATGAGCCATGAGAACCTCATCTCCTGCCAGAGTCTGAAAGAGAGTTTGGTGTTCTTTTCTTTCTTTCTTTTTTTTTAATTGAGACTGTGAAACATACTGAATTTTAGCTAAGATCAGCGAATTTTAGCCAAGGGTAAAGATGGTATCTGCTGTCAGAACAGAGAGACCTGGCACAGCTCTCCCTCAGACCTGAGCGATGGGACACCTGCTCTGGACCTCACACTTCAGGGGGCCTTGTGCTTTGGAGCACTTTCCTCAAAATTGTCCCTGCTCCCCTCCAGTGCTGAGGCCAGCCAGGACCAACAGCGCCACTGGGGCAGATATTTCAGGGCACTAAATATCTGGTGGTTGAGTGATATGTCATCTATACTTTTGAGAAGGAAATTGCATGGAGCGATCGGCAGAGGTTCGCAATGCCTGAGAGACTAGGAGCGTGAGAACTTGGGAGGTATTGTACAAAGTCTCAGCTGTGAGTCTGCAAGTCCGGTTTCAGCTCCAAGTCAGGTAGCACCTTTGCGATTGACCTCTTCTTCCCCTCTCCACCTACAAGGCTAATAGGCCTGGGCCCCATGATGTTCAGGGCTCAGATAGACGCCAGAGATGGCCTCCTTATCAGCCTGTTAACACCCTTCTAGGCCAATCCCTTCCCTTTCTTCTTGTGTAGTTATTCTGTGGGCCTCATAATCTTGTCTGGAACAAGAAAGAGCCACTGTCTCCCTGGCATCAGGATTTCTGGTCTCTGGCTAAGCTTCCTGCCCATGCAGTAACAACTGAGTGGGGCCAAGAAAGTTCTGGTGGGGCCACTCCCACCTGTGAAAGTATAAATAGCAAGGTTTGGCATTGGCCATCAGGTCCACTTGCCTTCAACATGAAGTCCAGTGGCCTCTTTCGCCTCGTGGTGCTTCTTGCCCTGGGAACCCTGGCACCTTGGGCTGTGGAAGATTCTCCAAGTGGTGAGTTGGAGTCCCCGGGGCTAATCATGGCTGCAAGGTCAGAGATCGGGGTCTCTTGGTGGTGAGTATGTCCCCTTCTCTAGGCTCTGATCTCTCAGCTTAGTGTCAAGAGACCTCCCAGAAGGTGGAGTACATGTCCATGGTCTCCGTGAGGGCTTCCGGAAGTGCTTCCTTTACTCTCCTCCCCTCTCCTCCCCTCCCTTCTCCAACCCTGTCTGTAACTCGCCAGTCACCAGTCTCTCCCTGGTTCTTCTCTGTCTCTGTTTCTGCTCTTTAGTGTCTGTGTTTCTGCTTCTGGCTCTAGTCCTCAACATCGCTTAGGCTGGCTCTATTTATCTTTGTTTACTTCTCTCACTCTCCTCTCTGCCTTTGGGTAACCTTGTTTTGCTCTCGGGCAGGAGACCTTGCCTGGAAGCCCTCTGCTATTTTCCGAGGTCCGAGACTTCTCCCGTCCAAGTGTCTAGTTTAATCAAGCCCCTGGATGTTAGACGGGCATGTCCCTTTGGATTTAGTGGACGGCCACTGAGGTGAGGGTCTCTCCTCCTGGAAAGTGGTGCTTTGTCCAGGAGTCAGGATGGCTACTCAGCCCCCAGGCCCCTCCTGACCTCTGGACCTTGTCTTCAAAAGGTGTGAAAGCTGGAGTGTGCCCTATTAGAGTACCCGCCCCGTGCTTTAAACAAGAGAAACCCGAGTGCCCTAGTGACTGGACTTGTCCCGGGCTGAAGAAATGTTGTTCTTATCCTTATGGCATCAAATGCCAGCATCCGCATAAGATCTCAAACTCAGGTGAGCAGGTGGGGGAGCTGGACAGAGAGGAGTGACCTGAGGACACAGCATCTAGGGGGATGGGACTGGGCGATGGGTCCTGCCAGGCCTCCTCTTTCCAAGACTTGTTGAGCCCAGTTTATCAGTGGGTCGAAGAGTCACACTGCATTAGCCACTTGGCTGGTGAAGCAGCCAGCTTGTCAGGAGGTCAGCGTTCCAGGTAGTCATCAGGGCATTCAGGCAGCCAGGCGGTGGGCAGCTGGGCGCCTGCATTGACTGGGGGCTGATGTTGGAGGGGAGCCAGATGCTACCTTCAGGGGATGTCTTAGGGAGGAGGTGGTAGTGATGGGGATGGGGGAGGAGATGATGCCCCCACTCAGGCTGGAGCAGGGACTCAGCCCAAGAAGCAGGGGCCGGTGTCTAAAGCACAAGGCCTCTGACCTGTGGGCATACTCTCATCAGTGAAGGAGAAACCTGGGAAGTGTCCGATGGTCGATGGCCATTGTCTGATGCTTAACCCCTACAATTTCTGTGAGAATGATGGCCAGTGCCAGGATAAATTCAAGTGCTGCGTGGGTGTGTGTGGGAAGATCTGCAGTTACCCTGCGAAAGGTAAGCCGGTGGCTGGGACAGATCAAGCTTCCTCCCTCCAGCCCTTCTCATCCTCACCCCACTGGAGGTCCAGGTGTATGGCAGAGGGACGCCTGATCCTTACCCCGAACAGAGCCTCTGTCTGGCTCCCCTGTCCTCCAAGAGCACTGTTCCCCAGGCCTTAGGGCAAGGATTTCCACAGTATCACCTGTGGCTTTGATTCTATTCCAGCCTTTCCAGGCAAAAGCCCTGGGCAAGTGATTTTCTGAGTCTCAGTTTCCTTATCTGCAAAATGGACATAATGAAATTGAAAGTGCTTTGTAAAGCACTAGGTGCACTAAATATTTATTATTCGGGTTATTTCCATCACGTTGTTTAGGGTTAAAGCCCAAAGGATCAGTGGAGTTTGAGGATAATCTAGTTCAGTGCTCTGAGTTTAGAGCTTTACCATGAAAATGAGGCTTGAACTCAGTGTCCTGACACCAAGACTCTTTCAACTAGACCACCACCTTGCTATTCTCTATCTCAGGGGGTCCTGGGCAGGGAAGAATGTGGAGATGGTTTGACTGGTTCCTATACTGAAGCGCTTCTCTGAATTTCTCTCACAGTCTGATTCCTGCCATTGGAGGAGGCTCCGGAGTCCTACTCTGTTTGGCCGGGGAGCTCACTTTCTGCTCCCAGCATGGATCACTGGGCACTCTGTGCCAAGGGTTTGCTTCCACCAAACCCACCTTGGGGAAAGTCTCGGCACACAGTAGGCTTTCAGGAAATGCTAGTTGATCAGTGAATAAATAAATGAGGCTATTTTTCTCTGTACATCCTGCTTCTGTAATTCACTGGGAGTATGAGTAGGGTGGGCGGCAATGAGGGAAGGTCTGGATATGAGCCCTCCCTCCTACAGATACGAGGGGAGGGAAGAGGCTTAGGGGCTGGGCAGACTTGAACTTGTATCATGAATCTGAAGGTACTGGCTCTGTGATTTTGGACAAGTGACTTTATCTCCTAAGTCTCAATTTCTTTATCTGGGAGGTGGCAATACAAATCAGTTTCTCTCAGTGTTTGAGCGTTGGGGAATGCATTGTAATAAATAGCAATGTTACTGGGCCATGGCAGGTTCTCCGGAAATGGTAGCTACTTGTTGCCTACTGGGGTGATTTTGAGTCTCTTTCATTTCTTCTTTCTCCTAAGACACTATTTGTTCTATTTGCAGGTAAGAATATTGCCATAATGGATCATGTGTATGAGATGTTGTTGGCCAGTACGGGCAAGGGTGGTGGTGTTCTTGACCTATGGAGCAGGAGTAACAATGGTGGATTACTGGGGTGCAGGAGCAGGCAGAGAGCTTTGCTCCACATTGCTCTGTGCTCCTGGACTCTGGCAGAAAGAGACAGCTTGATTAGATAATGATCAAAAAGATAAAATATTGTAATTCAATCCTTTCCTGGAAAAGGTCACTGAACTAAGAAAATATTCCTTACTACTTTCAACCAATGCTCCAAGAGCAATAACTGGATGTATTAAGTTAACCAACTGTTCAGTGAAGAGGAAAAACGGGAGGGACCATGTTATTCATTTTATGAGTGTGGTAGTCACCCTCCAAGTTGGGCCTCCGATGATCCTCACTTCTTGGTATTTGCAACCTGCGGAGTCCCCTCCCACTTATTTCCACGGTTGGGCTGTGTGACCAATAAAATATTGCAAAAGCGAGAGATAGTTACATCCTTATGAGATTAGGTGATATTAATAAAAAGTTTGCAGCTTCCATTGTGGAAGCGTGCTCTCTAATTTCAATCCCTTACTCCGGGGGAATTCAGTTGCCATGTCATGAGGACATTCAGGCCATTTGTGGAGTGGTCCACAGGGTGAGGAACTAACACCTCTGGTGAGCAAGCTTGGAAGTGGATTTTTCAGTCCCTCTCTAGCCTTGAAATGATTGCAGTCTCAGCAGACAGCTAGATTGTCACCTCATGAGAGACCCTGAGCCAGAACCACCCAGCTCAGCTACTCCTGGATTCCTGACCCTCAAACTGTGAGATAATGTTAGTGGTTTTAAGGTGCTAAGTTTTGGGGCAATTCGTTATGCAGCAATTAATAACTAATACAATGAATTTAGCATAAATTTGGTACTACAACTAAATATGGACAATGGAAGAAAAGATAATTATGAGCCAATGTCTTCTATAAACGTAGGTGTGAAGATCCTAAATAAAATGTTATAAACTAAAATTCATCAGAATTTTAAAAGCTTTCCTAAGATTCAATGTGAATGTGAATTCTTTGTTAAAATTAAGAATAGAAGTGAAAGAATAGAAATTAATCCAAAAAAAAAAGGAAACCCACCTGAAACTCTGTGGCAAAATCTACATTCAATTTCAGAGGAATTGTCACCAAAATCAGAAAGAGAAAAAGGATCACCACTATTTTTAACAATGTATGAGATATATAAAACTATGCAAGGAAATGAGATAAAGGAATCAGATGTATAAGATTGGGAAGAAAGATACAAAATAGTCCTTATTTGCAGACAATATTATTTCCTACCTAACAATTTAAAACAGACAAATAATATTGATAAAATAAGATTTATCAAAGTTGCTGGGTATAAGGCCTATATAAAATTCTATAGCATTTCTACACCATTATCCATAACCAATCAGAAATAACAGAAGTAGAAGTAAACAATCAAAAAAACAAACTCTACAAAATAACCTAAAAATAAACGTCAAAATTGTGCCAGATTTTCATGGATTAAAATAATTTGTTTTTATTGGAGGTCTAAAATACAAACTCAGTAGATGAAGAAATAATATTTGTGTCTGAGAAGACTTAATAAGGTAAAGATGGAAATTTCTTTAAAATCATTTCTAAGTCCAATGTAATTGCAATAAAAACCCCAAAATGATCTTTGAAAATAACTTGAAAAAGTTATCCTACAGTTAATAGATTAATATAAAGGTTGCAGAAGAGCCAATAAAATTTTTAAAAAGTACAAGAATGGAAGCTGGCCAGACCAAGTATCAAAACATGGCAATGATATAATAGTTAATGTAATATTATTTTGGTACTCAAATAAGCAAATAGTTTAATGGAATAGAATATAATGTCTGAAAGGAAACCTGAGCATTTGTAGAAATTTGTTATATGAAAGGGAGGAATTTTTACAACTGAGCAGGACAAGCTCAAACTAGTAATAAAAGCATTTGGCTTTTTTTCTTTTTAAAGTTAAAACTGGTTCTTATTTTGAGGAGGAGCCAAGATGGCGGATGAGACAAGCCGCCAGTCAGAAGGTCTCTGCAAAAAAGACGAATTTTAGAAGAAAGAGAGAAAAAATAAACGAGCAGAGAAACATAGATCGGGTGAGGGTCGGAAGGAAGGGTGCCTGAAACTACAGGAGACTCCACGGGAAGACA